CGGGCTGCCGTCAGGGGCCGGCCGGTCTCGGTCGGCGTTTGATAAGGTAGTCAGGATTACGCCAGGCGGCTCTGACTGAGGCTTTTGGTTTCTTTAAGGTAATCTTCCTCACCGAAGCCGAAGCTTCGTCCTGATCTCTGCTAACCGTTTTGAGGTGTAGCCTGAGGAGCCTTGGTGAAGGCCAGCTGTGGGGGAGCAGGCAGGTGATTCCATTTGCAGGTTCCCTGTCAGGACTAAAACTGGTGGGATGTTTCTGTTCTCCAAGCAAGCCTTTGAAAAGCACTGGCCCTTGAAAGTTTTGTGGTACAGAAATCTACTGATAATCAATACAGTTTGAAAATGCTGAAACTAATTTTGAACTGAAAAGGGGGGTTTGTTAGTGAAATGACCTTTCCGAGCTGTGTAGAATACAGTTTGCAAAACAATGTTGGCCATTAATTTTGCCCAGTTGTCTCTGTGTTAAGAACAATGCAGCTGCTCAGCTTTCTCTAGGTAGCAGCTTTAATCGTCCGTCTTGAAGCTAGCAAGAAATGGAAAAGCTACTGCTTCTTTAGCTGTTACGCTGTTACAAGTTGCACCAGTGTTTGAACATCTATGCCTGATTTCTTTGTTTTGTGTTCATTAGGAATTAAATTCTGTGTCTGGTAATATGGTTTGTGCTAGTAGATTAAAAAGGCCTTTACAACTTTTTTATTTTTGGCTTGAGAAAGTAGTTACATTCCTGTAGTCTAATTTTTTTTTTTCTATTTTTGAGAAAATAAAATTTTTTCATTGTTTTACAACAATAGGTCTACTCCTTTTTCTGTTTTCTTGTTGTAGTGACAATGATGCATATGAATGATCTAGTTGATGCTCTTAAAAGATCAGCGATATGGAGAAATAACAGAAAATGCCATGTTCTCATTAGATTATGCACTGATGTAATCTTCTAATTCTTAATGGTAATGATGAAGTATGTTTACATCAGTGAATTTGAAATAATGTTTACAGAACTGACAGTGTTACCAGTGTGATAAGCAGGCTTAAAAACTGGTGCAGTCAGTCACAGATTTGATACTCAACTGAAGGACAAGGAATTGTAGCAGAATCGCACGCTTTCTTTCTGTCAATTTGAGTACCTAGGGCTGGCAAACTCAGCTGGTGTCGAGGAGGCTAGGTGAAAACACAGAAGGCATAATCCTGAGATTTTTTTTCTAAAACTTAAACAGAACAGGAATACAAATAAATTCTTAATGTGTACAGGTGAGGGTGAAGAGTCTCTCTTCTAGTTTTTCATCATGTTCTAGCAACGACATTTTAGAGAATCACATTTAGAATACCCGAATTTGTTGTTGCAATGGCTACCAAGGAAAAAAAAAAATCCTTTTACCCCTAGCCCCCTGTTTCCCCATTTATACATTCTCTATTATGTTCAGTTTTTGCAATGATGTCGTGTTGGGAGTGAGAAAAGGTTTCCTAACTTGATCTTTTGTGCAATGATAAGTTGTGGTGTCAGGGTAGTTGCAGCTTTCTAATTCCTATGATTGTGGTGCTTGCCTGCTCCGATTCCAAAACCTTTTGCTGAGATACGACATTCTACCTCCTGTACTTTGAGTCCTCAGTCTTCAGGGTGAAGCCAAGTCAGGTGGATGAGCTGATCTAATAGTTGCCTGCTCCAGAAAACACGAGGTTTCACTTCTTTCCCCACCCTTTTCTGGTGTTTATCAGAACCCTTGCTGAGCCAGGACAGCTCACTTAGCCAGCAGAAAGCCATCTATTGCTATGAGTTGTTTTTTTTTTTTAAGTTGTGGGTTTTTTTTTTTAAACTACATTAATTTTCTGCCAGATTATTAATTAATAGTTCACAGATGAGTCCCAATGAATGCCAGATCCAACTTAATATAGGAGGATTCAACCTGCAGATCACAAAAATATTTAATAGCCACAGTAGTGACCTGATTCTGTATGTTCTCACCAAGAGCATTATTATTTGATCACAATTCCTGACTGATGTCTACTTCTGAAGCTGTGTTTTGGCTTAACAAGTTGTTATTCCCTTAACAGGTGCATTGTTTATCAGTGCATCAGTCTGTATTTTACTGCCATGATAGAGTCACATGACTTACAAAGGTGTCATTCAAAATTCAAAAATAACTGAATAGATTAAGTAGTTAGGATTGTTTTAGATCCATTGTCTTCCTATTGCCATTCAATCTGTCCTTTAATTTATTAATAACTTATTCCTTCACCAGCTTTTCTACTATTTTGCTCAGGAATGGGATGATACTTTAGACAGCAGATGGATAAAAGAGACTGTAGATCGGTAATCTGTTGTCATGTGGCTTATTTCCATTGACATTTTTGAATGCTACATAGTATTAACACTGCTTGAAGTTTCTGGAATTTTTTTGGTATTCCAAAATTTGTTAAATTTTTATATCGGGAAACAAGAGATTTTTTTTTTTTTAAAAGGACAGGTATATGGAAAAAAAAAATTAGATACTGAACTTTTTCCAGTCATGCGTGGACTGGAAAATACTTCATGATATTTTCACAATAGAAGTACATCATCCTTCTTACAAAATACAGAAGAAAAATACTCAATGAACCTTGCTGCATTTTTTTTTGGCACTGATAGGTTTACTGTCTAATAATGGTTCTAGGTCATGAATAGTTATTTTACGTTATGTGTTTATATGTTATTTATAAAATAACATATTTATATGTTAACATACAGAATTTTATTAACATATAAATATTATATATATTATACAGTAAGAACACGAATACTCGGTTCTATCGTTGAAAGAAAAACACTCTCCTCAGTCATTTAAGAAAAACAATACTTGTTACCAGGGGGAATTTTCTGTACTGGAAGTAACTATATGTGGCCTAAGCAAACAAGAAAAAAAAACAAAACAAACCAGTAGTTTTATAGTAGTTTA